CTTCTGAAACTACCAAAAAGGGTATTCTGTAAGTTAGTGTATTTCTAAGATAACACACTGTTAAAAATAAAGCAATATCTAAAATGATCTTCAAACTTTGAAGATCTGTAAAAAATTCCCTAATTAAGATGGAAGGGAGTTCAAAAAAAGCAAATGTTCCTTGAAACAAGGCCTTTCTTGATATTTCATCATATAATACAATTTTTGATTTAAAAGCATTCCCCATCATTTTTTGTGTGATCACACTACATTGCATAGCAATGTAAAATGATGTACAACAGTTGTACATCATTCATCATTGCTCCACATCATTCCATATTGTTCCACATCGCTCCTCATCGCTCCTCATCTCTCCACATTGCTCCACATTGCAGTACAGGCAGTGTAAAGCTATGTGAAACAATGTAGAACGATGTTCAAGTTGAAAATCATTCTATATTGCACGAAAAATGACATATATTGATTTTCATTTGAATATCGTATAATGCATTGTGATAGCCAGAAAGGCCTTTTTTAAGGAACATTTGCTTTTTTTGAACTCCCTTCTATCTTAATTAGGGAATTTTTTACAGATCTTCAAAGTTTGAAGATCATTTTAGATTTTGCTAATTTTTTTTAGCAATATTTACAGTTGTGCTCAACAATGAATCAGCAATGTTCAAGTGAACCTTGCAGGCACATTGCATGTACATTGTCTCAACTAAGACTTGAATTTCAAGGACATTTCAGTTTAAATTGGCAAAATTGATATTGTCTCCAATTATATTTTAATGTTTATATATGTGTACATTGCTAATGCATTGGTACTGCGTTGTTCAATGATGCTCTGAATGGGGGTGCATTTTATTGCCTACAAAACGTTGGGAGTACCATTCCAAAACACACCAGCCCTGCCTTCTGGAATGGTGCTCTCAACGAGGGGCGCATTTTTATTGCTCAGGAAACGTTGGGAGTCCGTTTGAAAACAATTCTCAGCATGGCTTCTTCTCCAGCTGTGTTCTGAATGGACTGCCAACGAGTCCTGGAACGCTTCCCTGAGAATGCCACAGCAGGTTGTTGGGCTCTGCTCCCAACCATTCTGAGAATGGGTTCCAGAACCCGTTGGCAGTCCATTTCCTCAACAGTTCACAGCCCAACGCCCCCATTATTTGCTGGGTAGTGGCTTAAACTTGGCTAGAAAAAATCTCTGTTGTGTTATTACAGGAAACCCTGATTTCGTTCCAACTCAATAAATAGATATAAAAAATTCTTGTCTTTGATGAGAAATATGCCAAAATCAGAAAAATCAAGACATGTTTTTAGGGATATTATTATTTATTCTTGGGGAATCGCATGCCCATTCTCAGGGTAATTTTGAAAATTCAATTTCTGAGAGCATTCAATTGAACATTTTTATTTGGATTTTTTTCTACAGCAAAGAGGGTCTGAATAACTATTATATCCCCTCTTCAAGCAATTTAAAAATTACTAAACCTCATTTTGGAGTTGTGTGGTGTAAGCGAATGGTAGCTACATAACTGCAATCAACAATAAAACTCTTTTACTTGGCTCAATATGTGCAAAAATCCAATATATTCTGCACTACTACATGATTTTAAATACAGTACGAACAGTTCATTTGAGCCACAAATTATTGTGTGTCACTTTCTCTCTTATGAAACAGACCCATTGTCAAAAAGTTATGCAAAAAATCCTAGGTTTTATATCGTAAAAATCCTCAACATGATTTTCATCTGTTGAAGATGTGGTACTCAAGTATACATACAGTATTATGCACTTGAATAACGCTGTGTTTTTTATTTATTTGCGTGATAAACTAATAATTGATACCAGCGTTTACCTGGCAGAAGAAAGCAAGCGTTGCTGACGCTTCCGGTCTCTCACAGCATAAAGTTTTTGCTGATAGTCAGTTTCCATCAATTCAACACCTTTATTTGCTGCAATTTCATGCAACAAGGGCTGAAATGCGACTGGCACACTGGAGAAGAATAAGCTATCCCTGCTCCAGTCAATGTGGTGCGTGAGTAAAGTTTGGAGATCTTCGTTGGGTTGAGAGTCGGGTGTGAAAATCTGCCACCACGTGGTCCCTCCGCTATCTGTCTGATATATATTGGGATAATTCAATAAATTATTCGGGTTAATTTAACGGAAGGACGTCAATGCAGAAATAAATATGACATACCTTGATTGTCAGGTTCAGAATAAAAGTAACTCTGATCACTACAAAAGTTGACCAGAATGAACAAATTCGTCAGCATATATTTTTCAAGTAAATCAAGCTGCTGTTGTTCATCCCACATCAGGATCAAATTCTAATGCACTACATGCAGAAATGTGTGCAATATCGGAATCAATGTCAGTGTGAAGCTATACAAGTGGTACCTCACAATTCAACCCTATTCTTTTGCCAAACTAGGGTAAAATTTTGAATTGGTCAAATAGTGAAACACTCCATCAAATTCAAAATATAAGTACAAAAATGCAAAAAAATGGAAAAGCAGGTTGACTTGCAGGAAAGGGACAAATTGAAAGTCAACCGCCCTACAAATGTGACCATTGAATTTCATGACAGTTGAATTGCAGGAGGTCAAATTGCAAGGAACCACTTGTATAGCCAAGCATAACAAGTAAAAAATCATTATGATGTCCAAAGTCAATAAACTAAATTTTGCTCTATTAGGAAGTCAATACTGAAAGAAGACCTGTATATTTAAGCAAATACAGTGAGTACCTACATAAAAAGACCCACACAATGAACTTTTTGCATCATCAAAGTTTGCAGGCAGGGAAATTCAAAAACATCATTCAAATAACAAAAATGATATGCATGATATGCAGTCATTTGTGCAATATTGGACCAGCAAAAAGCTAATGCATGTGGTACCTTGCAATATAGACCCTAATCCATTACTGGACTAGGCGGGTCAGATTGCACAGCAGTCAAATTGTGAGACAATGTCAAATGGCTTGTTTGACAACTTGAAGTTTCATGCCTCTTTGCAGGTCAAATTTTGCAGCAGAGATTTAATTGCCATTAAACCTCCCTGAAAATTTGTCTATCTAACTGCAGGATGGTCTAATTGTGGGAGGTCAAATTGCAAGGTACCACCTTTATAGCCAAACATAAAAAAATTTTAATGGATTATGTTGTCTGAGTCAATAAACTTGATTTGCTCTATGTAGGATCGCAAACAAAAAAGGAATTACTGTATGTTCACTCAAGTACAGTGAAGAGTCCCTACATGAAGAGAACCAAATAATGAAACTTTTGCATGGCCAAATTTTTTTGGCCAGAAAATTATAAAACTAATTCCATAACAATAACGTCCCAAATTATCAAATACTTGTTGCCGGGCACTTAGAATTCAAATAAACTGCTAGGCTTTCCCAGAACCGTTTGATTTTCATTTATGTTTTCATAAGCACTTTTCCAAACCACTATGCTGTGCACTATTGAACAAATAAATGGCAAAGAACGTTCTGTTGAGTGGTGACTGAATACGTTCAGTTCAACTAATAAGGAAAAGAAGGTATGGATTATTTGACTTCAGCCAATAAAGGAAAAACATGAGTTGAAAGTGCAGGTGCACCTCTGATATTTTTTATTCTGAAGAATTACCTTCTACCATGAATTTCATGGTCTTGGAGGTGAATTACTGCACTGTTGACTGCATTCACAATGTAATTTCAAGGGAAATTTAATTATACTGTACATTTGAAAAATTTCGCTTAACCAAAAGTATCCAGGAACAGATTTGCTTTTGTAATCCAGGGACTGTGCCATCACATGCCAGTTTTGAATATGAGGCAAACCTATATTCTTGAGCCTTTAATTCAGAGGAAAATAATATCCACATTCCCATTATTTTAATAGTGGTAAAATTCTGACCTGCTTGAGGATGATTGCAGTCATTTTCCCATTCCTGCGAGCCAGTGTGATGATTGGATCTGTGGCTTGATTTCCTAGCACCCAGTGTCTGAGAACGTTCCTGATCTATCAAAAATATAATCGCATATCAATCACATTTTTCTTCGTTGGCAACTGTTTTTCATGATCTTGATTATCTTTAAAAACTTCCACGCCAAATCATGCGAGAATCAATTTCACGTAACAAGAGTGTCTGAGTTGGAAACTGCGGGTTTGATTCCTTTCTTGGAATATTTGCAGAAGCAAGAAGTTCTGGCAATTCGTCTAATTAATTTTATTACATGAACTTAAGACGTTCGACTATGTATTTTTATCTGTCTTGTCAATTAAGTCCTGTGTTAGAGAATGAATGCATACGAATTCTATTTTTGCACAGCTATCCATCTTCATCCATTTCCTCATCACTGTAATGGTTTATATGCTCAGCGATGTTAACATGGTACTGTATTAACTATTAAGAAAAGACACAGATGACAGTGCGACGTCTCATCTCTGATGACTTGAGGAGTAATTATGTTTATTAGCCAACATTCTTTGTCCATACGTTTCACGACTTTCAGGCAATCAAAAAGATATTGGATTGAAAAAAAAATCCTTTAACATCCCTGTTTTGATTGGATTTTTCTGGTCTACAGAGCCTTTTCATGCTGAATGCGAAAATGTTACCTATGATTGATAAGTAAGAAGTTGCCCCACAGATGGACTTCAATAAATGAATATATAAGGGTGTTAATCATTGATCCCATGAAGAATTTTACTCTTTTACTTTAATTGTGCAGTAGGATGCTGCCAGAACTTCTGTGAAGACCACAGGAAATTTTTCATTTGAGGAACTGAACATCACAATTTAGAGCTGGATATATTAGATGAGACCTCGACACCTTTGAAACTTTTATGCATTGTAAAAAACCAAAGAACAATATAATAAGATGACTCACTAAAATGGTGTTTGGTCCGTGCTGTCGCAATTCTTCCCTTAAATTAGATGCGTCCACCAGTTTTGTTACTTCAGTTTCCATGACTTTCAAGATTCACCGTCACTATTGTTCGAACAATGAGTGCCGCATGTAATAGATGAGGCACTTGATGGAATGTTTTCATATTAATCACACAGTACAGTACTTGCTTTCAGTGAGTGTCGATATTATTAAACTAAGTAATCTCAGTTCAGCACAATAAATATCTGACATTCCGCGAAACAAATTCACTAAAGAAACTTTGTTGAAAATCGCGCGAGTTTTCATTTGACAAACTTCGAAATCATGCTGGAGGTTCTTATCCATCGGCGCTGTTCAAAATACCGTATGTATTTTTCAGAAGGTAAAGTAGCAGTTTTCTTCATAAAAAAAATATATGTCATTACATCAATCATGACATTTGCATACGCGTCTGAGTGATAAAAAGCGCATTAAACCTTGTGCAAAGAGAGGAGAAACTGTGAATGGAAGCGATCTAATGCTATTTGTTGTATTTCATACAAAAAATGTCCTAATGAAATATTGCAATTTCCTCAAGAAATAAGGAAAGCTTTTCGTTAAAAAAAAAGAGACTTTCAGACGTCCACGAGTATTTTAAAATGTCACTAAGTCTTTTTAAAAGGAAATAAATGACTTGCATATCATTCGGTACAAAGTCATAAATTAACAGTACAATAAATAAATGAAAATGAATTATAGGCGTATGAACACTTTTGACCCTGATATAAACGAGATTTTTTTTATGCCATGTCTTTTACATTGGTCTTGGCTGCTCTTGCGAGCTAAATATACCATGTTAATATAGTTTATGAGTAACTTTGAATCTAATAAATCCTTTACGTCATTGACTCCTATTCATACCTTCTAAATTTTTCAAAATTCAATTTAAAATTCGGGTTGCTTCAAATGATTTATTCGTTGGAAAAACTCGTCTGATATGGTCCTCCGTACTAATTCCATACGCTAATTTTCAGCTCACCAGTGATGTACAGTATTTGTTAATATCGCCGTAATATACAGTAGTGGCATTGAATTCGTTATACACCAAAATTTTTCAGCCAACGAAACGTTTCTAGAACTGTACCCAAAAGTTCAGCTATGTCATTAGAAAATTTTACGCAGTTTCTGAAAGCCTTATTGCATTTTTCGATTTTTCAAAAATGTGTAAAAGATCTCATCAGAAGTCGTACATGAACGGCAAAGATTATCCCTATATTTATACAAGCCGTTTACTAATTTCGTGTAGCAAATTTGTACAATAATTTATCAAGCACATTTCACACGAATCCAGATCACACCAGCCGATATAAATAATGACAAGGAATTGTTTTAATTTAGGAAGTCGGAACCATATGATTAACCGCGACCATCCGACGAGAGTTACATAACCAAACTCCGGTAATATTCTTTCATCCAGCAATAAACTTCCCACTATATGGAACAGAACGTAAGGGCCATTAATGCCGAAGATGAGACGCCGCACCAATTTCTGTTTGAAAAAAAAAATTATTATCACTGGATTTGTCGTGTGGAATTAGACACCGCTGCTTTTGAGCGTTGTTGCCAGCAGGAATACAAGAGCACTAAAATGCAGCCTTGGGACTGGATTCGTCTCGCCGCCGTCAACCGTTCACTGATGGGTTCGGTTTAGCGATGGGGCCTCCTCAGCTTCCTGCTGCTGATGGGTATGCCGGCATTGCAGGGTAACTTCGAGTCCCGGGGTTCATTCATCCCAGCAGAGTCCAACCATCCGCCTCTGCGACTTCATTGATTGATGCATCGGTATTATTCAAGGTTTCGTATATATAACTTTTTTAATATATCTGCTTTCCCCGGTATATTGTGCCTCACTTATCAAATGGTTACTTTTAAAAGATAAAAATCTACATAGGATAATTGCGGATTATTCCACATTTCAGTCCATTATTGGAAGTGCAGTACTGTATAGATCGAATATGAATCAAGGAATTAACAGGCTTTGTAAGAGAAATTTGGAAGTATTCTGTCCAATTCTGAAATGATTCACAATTTTATTTAGTAATTTACTCACTGCTGATATTGCTGAAGCTGATGTGCTTTGGTCAAATGAATTGTTGTGATGCTGATGATATTTATGCTAATTTTATCACAAGGATCAAGATAAACTGTTCACCTTACATGATTGCTCATCAAAGATTCTCTCTAAATTGTTCATTCAGTTAAACCTCATACAGAAACAAGCTAAAGACCTTGTGCTTTAAATTGATTTTTACTGATATTTTGTTTCCAATGTCAGGGGTTCCATGGGTGTATGCATACATGTCAGAAGTCCAGTTGTATTTTGTGGATTGTATTTTCTTTTATTTTTGTTATCAATTTGTGCTCTGTTTCCTGCGCTGAAGTGATTAAATGTCTTTCAGTGGATTTGGGTTGGGTGGGGAGGGGGTTAGGATGTGGAAATCTTGATTGAACCTTGTGAATGCTGAAAGGTGGCAAATATAGTGTTCTGTTCATTCATTCATTCATCACAATGAAGCAAGGGCAACGTAAGTAAAATCAACAATTTCTTCTGGTCTGCTCCCTTTTTTTACAGTCCATTTCAAGGAAAAAAGCTTCTCTGGCATTTTCTGTCCACAATTCCTGGCTTTTACCTAATGTCATAATAGGTTTTAACATAAACACAAACATTTCATGAAGCTTTCATTACACCTTAACATTGAGGATATACGGAATTTATATTCCTGTTTTTAGTAACGGATTAGATACTACCTTTTGGTTTGCAACCTATATACAGCACAGTACTTCACTTCAATTTCCCGGGGGGAAATGGCCTCTGCCACAAATAATGTGCCAAAAAATAGATATACAAGTGTTTGAAAAACTTCTAATTTCAAACAGCAGTCAAGATTTATCAGCAATACTATCAATAGCAGTTATAACTGCTATAATCAACAGCAGTTATAAGGATTTATTTGCGAAATGTAAACATAAAAATCAGTAAGACTTTTCTATTTGTTCTTTGATATACGACACTACAATAACAACAAAGGACTAACTGATAGTTCAAAAAAACAGTAAACTTCAAATAAAGTACATTTATTCTAACTTACAGTATTCAGTAAATTTCAGAGAAGGTCATATGTATAGGAATAAGTTTAAATCATGTTTAGGGATTCAATTCCATATTCATGCCAGCAACTGTTGAATCATAATCCCTGACATTTGACAAATGACATGCAGACAAAAAAGCGCCCCAAAAATTCTGTATCCACTTGAGTACCACATGCATGCTTTTTCTCTCTCAAATTTTATAGGAAAAATTGATATGATGAGTTTGAATCATAATATAGGCAGGTGAAAATTTTTCAAGAAGTCCTAAAAGTTTTGGTATCAAATGGGGAATTTTGAACAAATTTCAACAAAAAAGCTCATTTCAGTGGGAACAATTGAAAACTGCTTGAATCCAAGTTAAATTCTTTCCTAAGTTCAAATTTGGGCATTTTCATTGATTCTTTGAAATATTGTTGTTCTATATACGGTCACTGAAACTGGGGTGCCCACCTAACTCAGGGATACAATGTAGTCAACTGAATAACTCTGGTGTGTGTCTTACTTGAGTGCATTATGAATAAATGTGGTATATTGACAAGAGGAGAGGGATATTTGGGCTAATTGCATGAGGAACTACTGTACTGGATATGTAGTGGATGAATATGGTTTTTAATTTCAATCCAGTGCATATACTTTGCTGGAAGCCAATTCCGCAATCTGCACTCACTCCTGGCACATCACGACGAGATCAAGGCCACGTGGTGAACACAGGTGCTGCGCTGTGCCTGCCTGAGGTAGACGTTTTTTTTTAAATTATATATGCCCCTTCTTTTCCCTGTTCAAGCTGTGATATAGCCCATATAGGCAAGGGAATTTCAGAAAGTTTTTAATGTTTCAAGCTTTTAAAGCACACTGCTGCTGATCTGTTAAAAGACTTTATTTCATATCATGCATCATTTTTCTCAGTAAATTATGAGATTACGAATGCGCAGTGTAAAGTTTCATATATTACAAAAAATTTCATTACAATGAATTTTCCAGCACTATCATGCATTTTTTGTCACAAAAGATTCTCCACAGGCACAATGCTATGAAATCTCATTCAATCTCAGTATAAAAGTTTTTTCACGGTTCTGCGCATATAAGTCACAAAGAAATTATTTCATCGTCAACAGCAGAATAATGGGAAAGAATTGCACTGATGGTGCAGCATTCCAACTACCTCAATGAAGCAAAAAATAGACTCAAACTCAGCCATTTCTGTACGCTGGCCCGAAAATGAGAATGAGGATTATAAGGGTTAATTATTGTTGTTTGCTGGTTTATTCTCATCTGTTCTCTTCAGTTCACAAATATTTTCATACTTTTTTGGACATTTTGAGCTTCTGCAGTTTTCTTCTATGCTCATGTTTTTATTTTATTTACATGTGTACTCTCTCTCTCTCTCTCTCTCTCTCTCTCTCTGTTTCTCTTACAATGATTTTCTTTGAATGATGAGTTTGTTTTTGGTCCTATCATTTGGTATAGGAGGTTTTCTGGTTGCTTTAAATTCATTGTAAAGAGGATAGTCCACGCCTTTAGTTCCAGTACTGAAGTTATTTGGAATCTTTCTCATTGAATACCAACTTTTGAACAGACATTCAACTGCTATTTCAGGCTTTAAAATGCATGTTGCATGAAAAACTCTTGCGGAAGTTTAAAAAGCATAAATAATTTCAAGTGAAACTCGCAATTCATGTTTTCTCATTGCCTATATAGTCTGAATTCTCAGCAGTAAGAGCCTCTTCTTGAGAGTATTAGAGCATATACACACAGTACTGCATACATTTTCGACTTTTTCAATTGCACATCTTCATGTCAAAATGTAATGAAATGAAGATAACATGGTCAAAATATTCATGGCATGTTCGAATTTTGGTGAGAATTTTCCATCAGAAGTCAAGAAGACCAGTATATATTGGCCCAACCCATTTTTTATTTTGTTGAAATCTTCATCTGTGGATGGTTCTAAGTCGTAAGTTTTACCACCAGTTAGTTTCTATACCGGACTTTAAACTTTTCAAATCGGTATTGTAATAAGTGAGTACGTGATTACACTATGTAAGTCTTGTTAGTCCATGACGTTTATACACACAAGGCTAGTGAACATATATTTTTAAATACGGAAAATGTAGGGACAACAGATATCAGGAAATGAGTAGGAGGGGATGCAACCAAACTTTCTGGAAGTCCTTGCATCCCCATCCTCAGGAAAATTATCCTTGGAATGGGCTTTCTTTATGGCTGCTCTTTGCAGGGAACCAAAACAAACCTTGACTTCAGTGCTGTCAAAACAGCAAAAGCAATACAACTCTGAAACTTTTCCCTTGTCAGGAAATGGTAGTTTGCTAGCATTTAGTTGACTTGAGTTTCAAATTGTCCTTTCTCCAAATTGCCAATCTGGCCCAATTTGGGCAGAACTGCAATAAGAATCAGAGACAAGAAAGTGTATACCCAATCAATGGGTTTTGCTTGGATCAATGACAGGGCTTGGTGACAGCCAAACCCATCTGGCAATGTCAGATTTTCTTCCATCTTGGCATGACCAAAAGGATATTTTAGATGCTTTGTTCTGGCAATTTGGAAGGGAGAATTGACATTTGTTTTGGCAATTTGGAAGGGACAATTGACATGTATATACAGAATTGCGATGGGTTTGGAAGAATTGAATTATGTACAGCAGTCAGAAATTTTGCAGAAGAAAGGAAAACCTTGTTAAAGGTTCAAAAAATGAAAAAAGGTATGCTGCTGCTTAGGCCTTAAACTATTTTTTTTAAAACCAAAATACAATTCTCGGGGAACAAAAAACATAACTTCAGACATTTCAGCCTTGGAAAAATCAGTTATTTTTTTCTGAACGGCCCTCTTTGCAACAGCTATCAGGAGAACATCCTCAACATTTTTGAGAGATTTTAAAATGTCAGTATTTATGGTTTTATGCCATTGGTTGACCAGAACAATTTTTTGACATGCTTCAACCCATCCAATCCCTGAGAAAAGGTTGAGTGGGACTCAGGCGCTTCCTCTTCCTTTCCACTTAGTCACCTTCATCAGCACACTCCGAGACTTATAAGTTCAAAGGAAGTAGTCAGTCGAGAACACTGTGACCCTCTAATTTTAGTCTTGGTTGTTTCAGTGGTTTTGTCTTAGGACTACCTTAGAATCGGTTCCCTACGAACCTTTGACGTAAGATTTTGTGAGACACAGAGAACTCGTTCGTTAAAATCCGAAAAATAGACGTAACTTAATAATATAAAAAACTTGAAGTCAAGGAATGCGACAGCGGGAAATCCCGATGGAAGTGCCCGCTGCCGCAAATTGCGCAATCGTAAAATCCTTTCTTTTCCGAATATTCAAGTTTCCTTCATCAGTCAGCTCTTGTGACACTGGGAGATTAAAATCAGAACCAACAAAGTCACCAAAACAGAATCCTGATGGAATCTTAGCCAAGGGATGCTTGGAAACTGCATTCTAAAGTTGGGTACTTGAAGAATCCTCCTCCTGGTCACCATCATCTCCAACTTCAGGTCTATTTTCTTCACATTCATCACTATAGAAATTTCTGAAACAAGGCCACTCTTCTTCCAACAATTTGCAATATTCTGCTGCATGTCACTTGTGTCCAAGCATGATGAATCATCTCAATTGCCTCCCTCACATCAATTTTCACTTCAGCTTTCTTGCTTGGTCAGACAAGGCTTTTTGGATTATCAAGACCAGCTAGGATTTTCCTCAGAAGCTCATTTCTGTAATGAGCTTTCACTGCCCTTATAATGACAAGATCCAATGGCTGAAGCACAGAAGTGCAATTTGGGGGTAAATACTCTACTCGGACATATGCTCCAGCCTTCGCGGTGGGCTGAGCAGTTGTAAATGATCAGCAAAATGCTCCTTTTCTTAATTTTCATATATTTTTCAACAATTTGCAGCCACTTTGAAAATATCTGTCATTCATGCTCTTTTTTTTTTTTAGAAAAATAACGACAAGGTATATAGGGAGGAAATATCCAAATTTTTGAAGGTTCTAGGCCTTGCAGACTTGACAACCCGTGGGTACAGCTTGTCAGCCCCTGTTGTATTTGTGCATAGAACAACTGTGAGTCTCAGCTTGGATTTCTTTCCACCATGGCATGGGTCACCTGAAGAAAAAAATCATTATTTATTACATGTACAAAAATTCTCAAGAGCAATTTCACAAGTGGGAAAATGTTCTTTTAAACACACCTTTCAGTGCCGATGTCCTGTGAGGCATCAGTTGAAAAAGAATCCTGTTTCATCAGTATTGTAAATTTCACTTGGCATGTACTTTTTCAGTGATACTCTTCATGTGCCCATTATATTCCTCCATTCTTCAGCCTTTGCAAAAAGGGCAGCAGACTCTTCTCCACAGATAGCTTTTGAACAAATACCGTGACACTTTTTGAAACTGCTGACTTCTCTTTTTCCCTTCCTCAGAGGTAATAGAAAACAAAGCGTTATAATGTACAGTACTGTATAGTGAGAAGGCCAAAGGAATCCTTGTCGACAGTCATTCATCATTTTTGCTTAAGAAATTCTGCCAGGAAAAAGAAATTCGTTGCATGCAGATTTCGTCGTACAGAGAGTTCACCTGTAAAAAATTTTTTATAACAGAGCTTTACAATCAGTAAAAGAGGCATAGGAACTTGTGAGTTTAATGGCAGTATATGCGCAGCAATGCAAGGAAAATTCCTCCGCTATAGACTTACCGCCCCAGCACAATTCAAAATTGAATGAAAAGTTGTGAATGATACGAGCATATATACGGCTGTACTGTACTACAGTATATATGCTGCAATATGTGATCCGGAAGGAGTCTTACCTTTTTGTCAAATTTATTTATGGATTTGGAGAAAACAATTATATTGCAAGCACATAATTTTGTAAGATTTTTGTTTGAACTGTACTGGATCTAGCAGGTGAACTCTCTCTAAAAGAATCATGTATTCAATAATTTTCTTCGTATGAAAGATATTTTTCTCATAAGCTGCATTCTGCATGCTATTTGGGTTTCTATACAACAAAATCCTGTCTAAATCATCAATGAATTGTTTCTGTTTCCTTGAATGTTGCTGCAGATAAGAGAGTCTACCTGTATATCTTTTAATTTGCCTGTGAAAAAATGTACATACACGTAAACAGTAGGGCACTGGATATACTGTACTGTATATTTATAACAGTACAGTATACTGTATATATATACTGTATTGTGTAATGTACATGTGCATACAGTAAGATACAATCCAATAACTTTTAATTATTGGTGTAACTTTCAACCTCACAGAATTGACATATTTTTACAGAAAGAATTTTAATTTCCAACATAATCAAGTACTGTAGGGTACTTTATTTTTTTAAGTGCTTATACCTGTGTTGCCTCAAGGGTTTCAGGGATCAGTGAGCATTTCGATCTGCGGTGCTTTTTGCCCACTTTTTTGTTACTCTGTGGAATATGCTTCTATGCGAAAGATCACATGCATTCAACCTGGATTATGGCAGAGGCGGGCTCTTCGTCGCCGCGAGAATTTTCAATTTTTGATTATCGAGACAACTCCTGCTTGAGTTGAAGTGGTGGATAAAACTGTTCCGCATGGAGTTCGCCGATGTGGGACTGATGTTTCTTCCGGATAAAATTCAGAAGAAGCGCCTGGACGTGTTGAAATCCTGTGCCAGGAAGAATGGATTCAATGTTCTTGAGAAACCGGCGCGGTGAGTTTAATCAGGCATTGGCGCCTGCAATATAAATTTAATTGGAAATCTCTATTTTTCAGGTGCTTAACCCACGTAGTTACCGAGATGGACTCCCTCTCTTTAGTGGAAAAGCACTTGAAGCACAAGTTTAAGCCAAGTGAAGTGCAGCGAGCGCTGGCATGTTCAGTACAGATCGTGGATATGGATTGGTTTCACAAGTGCGTCCGGTTAGTTACGCATTTTTCGTGTTACTGCGCGATTCTTTTTTTGAGGTATAATCATGTGAATTTGAACGGAGTTCGTTTGATGCGAAACGTTTCAAGGCTTGGCTTCGAATCCGTTATTCGGGCTTCGCTACGTGGATTACTTTACGCAAAAACATATCTTTTTCTTGTATATTCCCTAGCGAGAAACGGTTAATTAATGAATCAGCGCATCGGATTCCCGATGACAGAGCCACGGAAGATGTGCCTTCTGCAACGGTAGAGAAGAGCGAGTTTGACCTGGATTACTTCAATGCCAATCCATGTGAACGGATAGCGCCACTTGACGGCACGAATGAACACTTGGCAGTAAGACAGATACCAAATATTCATTGCTCAAGTTGTTTATGTCTTTTCTCATCTTTCGTTGCGTTGTGTTCTGAAAAGGTCAAGCTGGTCGAACTATCTCTTTACTGGCAACTCGTTGGAAACGTCTTCGGCGATCAGGCGAAATCTTTGGCATTCCGAAAAGCTGCCTCTGCCTTACGTTGTTTGCCGTTCGCTGTGACTCACCCAAAGCAAGTAAACGCTTATAGTAATTGGTATCGCGCGGAGGTACTTGAACGGATTGCAGTACGGTGTAGATTTTTATTGCTCCGAAGTCAAATACGTTTATTGTCAGGTCTTCGTCGTAAGCGTTGCGATTAGAATAGGTTATTAGCAGATGCGTCGTTCCTTCGTCTAATATCAAGTCATCGCTGTAAGATAACGTTTTTTCTACGCCACAGTTGCGGAACGTAAAAGACATCGGTGAACATGCGACGAAAATTCTGACGGATTTGCTCCTCCGTGGCTCGTCAGAAGAGCTTGAACAGAAGCTTGCAAGCGAAGAATTTCTCACCGTGCAGGTGAAGAAAATTTGTATGGCGATTGTGTTATCGTTTTTGTTGATCGCGTGGTAAACCTCAATTCGCACATGGTTCAGAAATTTTCTGCGGTGTTCGGAATCGGTGCAGTCAATGCAAGGAAGATATACAGTCGTGGCTGTTCGTCTATTACCGACCTGATCGACAGAGTCTCTGATTTCGGTTTTTCGAATGATAACCGCGTGAAACATGGTAAGTTTCATATCTGAGAGCCCTTACTTGGGATTACAGAATTCATTGCGTGGTTGTTGTAGGAAACTTTGCGCGTTATTTTCTAAATCGCATTCTGCGTTATTGCCTTGAAATCCTCGCGTGTGAAGTTCTAGCATGTGCCTAAAATGTCTTGTTGAAAAAACTGGAGTAAGTTTCCCGTATTCATGCTAGTGTAAGGTATGCTTTTCTCCGATTTAGACTCGCCGAATATCCGAATCTAACAATCGATGGCTTTTATAACTCGCATGGTAATGTCAAATTAATAAGGTCTCCCGAATTCTATGCATATCCAAATGATCAAAATTTCATTTTCCGATTCAATCCATTTCTTCAACGCTTTATTGCATCATTGCATTCTGTGTAAAAATGCTGGCAACTTGAGAAAATGGGAGAAAATATGTTGACACTTCATGTTTTCATGCTTGTACAGTATATCTACGGAAGAATATTAAACTGCAGCATCGGGCTTTATGTTGCATTGTGTTTGCGCACGTGTTATTTTAAGATTAGCGCCTCTTCTGACGCAACCTGTCGCGCTTGGGTTTTTGGTATATATTACAGTATCTATTGAGACCCGTGAACATACGAGTTTGATATTTTCAGTTGTGAAGTCGAATAATTACGGAGCTTCTCAAAATCAATTTTGTCTCTGTATGGCCACACACACGGACTTCGTATTAATTTCAGGACTGGCGTTTTACGAGGATCTCAGCACTCCCACAACCCGACCTGCCGCGGATGCTGTGCGTGAATTTTCGCTGAAGATCCTCAAAGAAGTTGAAATAACATTAAGACCATCGATGGTGGAATCCGGGATTGTGCTGGAACTAGTAGGAGGTTTCAGGCGAGGGAAACCCTCCGGACACGACGTAGATTTTTTGCTCGGCCACAAGCAAGGCCTGGAATCCGAACTACTGCGTCCCTTTATCGAGCGATTGAAGACAATGGGATTGATGCTCTTCGGGCGGATTGAAGGCTCAGAATTCACATCCCGCGATCGGGGAAGCAATTTTCAGTCCAGTGGAGCAACGATGGACGGCTACGAAAAGTGTTTGGGAATTTTAAAAGTTCCGAAAGACGGCTATTCCTGGGATGACCTGCGAAACGAAGCTCCTACTGGTGGGAAAGGTGCTATAGTTCACTTTTTTCCAGGAAATATTGTGTTCTCGCTTCTCCAGCTGTTTTTAACAACGAGCAGCGGAATCATTTAATTTCTCATTAGTTTGCTGTAAATCCTGTAATGACGATACAGTTTTTAAGTTTTGTACTGCTCTGCACAGCTCTGATTTTTCTCCAATTCTGTACAGTATTCAGTTGTGTTTATTCTGGGTGTGAACCCATGCCAATTGTGTAATTTCCGAAAGACCGAGAGTTAATTCCTTGGAGTTTCTGGAAAAATTTGTCTTTATTTACAAAATTCGAATTTCTCGAGAGGCTATTTAATTTTGACAGCTTTCAAATTGGTCTGGTTTTGAGTTACGAGTCTTTGTTTGCATTCACGAAAAAAGCAGAAGCACAATTTTATCGAAGCATAAGGCACGCTTCGATAACGGCACATTGCGTCGTTGCATTCAAACAAATATTGTGAATAAACTGAGCCGTCCAGTTTTCAGCATTGTGTAGTTATCAAATATAGCTTCAATTCAATGCATCTTCGGAAATTAATTTTCTACACTGTCGCACTTACTTTTGCGGTGTAAACCTTGGTTATTTTGACTCTTCAGATAAAGGTAAAACTCGGAGATGCTCTTGAAGATGAAAAACAAGCGTTTTTTCTCTGACTGTCGAGAATTTTGTAACATTGTGTTTCATATCCATCGAAGGTTATTTGGATTGGCTAGCTAATTCAAGTACAACTTTTAAGTGCTGGAGTTTTTTCTAACTGCTGACATCGGTCCCTATTCATTGTCGGTTTTCTAAACGAGAAAATCGTTGGCTGTAATGTCGTTTTTTTGTTGTTGAGAAATTTGGGAGTAACCATTTTGATGACGCCTATAATGTCAAAGCATAATCCAGACGTTACTCGCTAATCACTCCAAACTGGTTAACTTCAGGTGGTCAGATTTGCTAGCTACGGAGTTGTCAAACAAATAATTCTGACTAGGAAACACAAAATTTTCTCCTTTTTAGTTTTCTGGAATCAGAATTTTTTCGAATTTTCCCGGTATCCAGGTGACCTGAAGTCGTTGATTGCAATGTCTGATAATCGAGACCGACGTTGGACTGCTATGAGGGTCGATTATGTGGTGGTTTCACAAGTGGAATGGTGGTATGGAGTGCTTGGTTGGACAGGAAACACTCAGCTCTCTCGTATGCTGCGAATTCATTGCAAAAAGCAACTGAATCTATCATTGAACAATCATGGTCTCTGGAACCCGCAAGATGTAAATATTGAATAATGTTTTTTTTTTACGCATGTTGGTGAAGTGCATACAGTATAGTGAACTGCTTCTTCCCCGGAAGTCAGTTTTCCAACATGGTTTCAAATTGTATTACCGTATTCGATCGATTATCACGCGCCCTCCAGTAAGACACGCACCTTAGTTTTCAGTTTCCAAAATTCATTTTGCATTTTAATTACTTCATGGGTTATAAATCTGAATACAAGCCCACTTGAGTGTTGACTTCAGTGTTGATATTTTTTCTTATTCGAAACAAAGAATCATGGAGAGAAAACCCGGGAGGGTAAAACAAGGTCTCGGTTATCAAGCGAGGAGTAAAAGTTTGAAGTTTGAATAAAATTACCAGAAATTTGTATCCATCTATGACGCCCAACTCATTTTTGCCCATTTTTTTGAAAACCCCTCGTACTCCGGTAAATATGATACTTCGCTGCGGTTTTGTCTGTTTTAGAGGTATCCTTGAGTATTTTAGTATTTATTCAGGAAATTTTTCAGAACTGTTATCCGGAACTGATTCCCTCTTTTCTTGAACGTTAACATTACTCGAGTACAGACTTTCTACGTAGTGTAATGACATTCTTGCTACGAAGAAGGAAGGCCGTGGATGAGTCACTACTTGGGTATAATTCAGAGTTCCGAGAGTCTAGACCAGCATCTTGCAATTTTTTTCTTTCGAGCGCATGTCAGTATAGCAAGTATCCGAAGATAGTCTCCAAGTCAATGTAAGGCCAAGTTTTTCATTCTGGCGATCATTGTTTTTTCGTTTTTATGTTGCATTTTCTTCTTGATGATGCCTGCTATTGCATTTGCTTCTGTACTTCGTTATATGCTCTTCTGCGATGAAGCCGTTATTTCGAATCTGATATTCAATTACTCCTGTATTTCAGAATACGGCTCTCCCTGCGGATTCTGAAGAAGAAATTTTCAACCACATGCGGTTGTCTTACCGTGAGCCTCATCTGCGTAACTTCTGAGGAAATATGTTTTTCGCCCTTTCCTTCGATTCTGTGGGCATTTTTACGGGTTAGAGTCTTTGTGCACTGCCGAAAAATCGGCTCTTGAAATCTGTAAACTCAACGTCGAGCAACATTCAAGAACTGTACTGTATTTTCAGTTGCACACGTTTGTCGTTTTCGTGATTTTTGAGCATTTTATGACGGAACTGAGTGGAAGAATGAATCGCTGCATCAAAAATGACAAACTCCGGAGTTATTTTCTGTGGAATTATCGGACAATTAACTCACGTAGTGTTACAGATCTTGTTAGTGCATGAGTTCGGAAAACTAGTGAAAATTCGATTCATTGAACAGAGCACATGAGTGACTTGAAGGCTTCCTGTCTTGAAAATGGAAGCATTCCTGTGCGAAGCGAAGCGTCTACATGTGCTTTCATACCCTGAGTGGTCCTGTGAGCAGAATTCTTCTGCATTTGACGAAAACTTTCTTGGTCCGTATCTAATTGCACTTCAAGGAGAATCCAAGAGGTGGAATGCTCATGACGCTGAAGTCTTGAGGGTGAGTTTGAGCGACTGAAATCTAATAAAAAAAATTATCGCCACTGTTGAGCGGTTCAAATTTGCCTTATTATTTTGATTTGGTTGAATCAAAGTTATTTTCCGCGTGAAAACGTTTAGGGCAGACAGCAGAGCAGGTAGAATATGGTAGAATATCACTTCTATTTCTCAGGACGTGAACCTTGGTGTTATTTTTTAAATTTCCGTTTGGGATTTTTCCAAAATGTTATTCCTTAATTTTAGTGTCTCTTTTCTTCACATTCTAGACATGGAACGAGTTGCTGTCTATGGTCACGGAATACTCCTCCGTGCCTTTCAACAAAGGGACTGCTAATAGCATCAGCACGTTCCCTCTATTCTGGGGACATTTTTTGCCTGCTGTTCTACCGTGTTTTAAAGCTGTGTCAAGCAAAGCTAATTGTGATGATCCCGTATTGCCTGTGAAAGTTTACGATAGCCTGATTTCCCTGATCAGCGCCTTCATTGACAAATTGGAATGCTCTTCTTTCGAGCCGAAAGACTTCTCTGCCGATCACTGTCAAACAGTGACTCAAGGTAACGACTTTCTCCTCCGGTTGCCGATACCCTAAAATGCATTTTTCCAGTCCCTGAAGATGGATAATTCTTGACATTTTTTCAACGTTTGATTGCTTCATGATTGATTCCTCGGATTTTTTCTGAAATTCTGATTCAAATAGTTCAGGCGCAGGACGAATTTTGTTCTAAAACTGAATTTTTTCTCGGTATTTTACCATTTGAAAAGTTATGGATGAAAGGGTCTTGAAATCAATGGTTAGTTCACTGAAAGACGTTGAAGGGAAATGTATGAACTATGAAGTTTTACTACGTCGGAAAAGAATATTTAAACGACTCCAAAATGCATGTTAAAATACTTCCAGTATTTGATAAAAAAAAAATTTAGAAACTCTTTGCTGAGGAGTTAGAAATTTATTTTTCTGCTTCCTTCAAGCTATTGATTCCACGCTGCGGACAAAATTAGATACTGGAGTAATACTGATCATCAGTTGAAATTAGTTCAAGCTGATTCTTTCGGATTACACAGTTGAACCTCTCTAAGACGAATACCTCCTAATGTCAATTTTTTTCAAGTCCCTGTCTGAATTCTCTTAGAAGGAATGCATTTAAAAACCTGAAGGCTTCCCCTCCTCATCCATAACTCGAATCTTGTGGAGGCATTTTGGCTATCACTTCAAGAGAAAAGCAAGAATAATGTAACTTCATCCGTTCCAGAAGGAAATGAAGAGATAATTGTGCAATTGATCTCTTTCCTTCAAGTTGAGCATCCTATCAACTTATTTGAGAAACATTTCAAAGCCCAGAATATTATGATTTGCAAATTTATGTTATTCTTCTTTCCTTCCCCCGACAGAAATACGTTTCCCTAACTCGAATTTTTTGCCGGTCAGTTGAAGTTCGACTTGTAGAGGTTCTACTGTATAGTGCTTCACTGCGTGTCAAGATTTCGGCCAAATTTTGGACCCGTCTTCGTATTTTCCGGATTGAACGCCATTATCAGATTATTCAAGCGTGCCTCTCTTTTTTTTCCAGTGGTGAACGGGTTGCTAGAATTGCCGATATTGCTGAAGAACGAAGTGCGCCTCACGGGATTTTTGTGGCGAACATTCGGCCGCAAAGTTTTGCCCCTCATCAAGAAACGTTGTCCCGAAGTCAAAGCTGCGGATCTTGCTTGTGCTGTCTCACATCTTTGCGCGTCCATTTCTCAGTACCTTGGGGATTGTGAAACCGCTCTGAAATCTGGCTCCGAAGCTGCTGATGCCAGGTTGGCGAGGAACTTCAAATTGATCGCGTTGTTCCTGAAAGTCTTGGTGAACCTTCTGGAAGACAACTCGGACGGATTTCTGAAATTGCGGATCGAAGATGTGGATGCACTGGTTTCGGTGTCTAACACCGTTATTGGATGTCAGTTGCTTTCGCAGTTCTCTGAGCGGAACAATGCGGAAATCAACGAACGGCTAGTGAATCATGGAGTCCCAGATGCTGTTCGTGACATACTGAGCCATGCCGTGAAATATGAGAGGGTTTCTGAATACTTGAGAAATATTATCAACGGTGGAGACTGCGGGACTTTGCAGGAATCTGTTTTTCCTGACCTGGCAAAGTATTCAGAAACGTGGTTCATCGTAATGTGTCTGGATTTATTACTGTCGAATGAATCACATTGTCTTGAGGATAGAACGTCGAAGGGTTCATTCTTCTCCGGGTTGTTTCATCTGGCATTGAACGGTGAGTAGCATCAGTGAAGACTTCAATCTCCCGTGAAATACGACCTGATGAAAAATAAATAAATAGTAAAATGATCTCGATCACTACGTTCATAAATATGTACGTACTATGTGTAGTATGCTTCCTGCATTGCTTGTATTTATAAAAAATAGCCGTTCAAAGCGATGAAATCGTCTCTGTGTTGTACCTTCAGCGTCGTTTCATCCTTTTCTCTTCCCGAAGAACTAGCTCCCACTCTTGTTATGAGACACTTGTGAATTTATTTCTACGTGGTCGAATAATTGTTCAAATTTTTGCTCGTTTGAAAGGATGCCCTATTTAAAGCGTTGAGATCGTCTTCTTGTTTTACCTTAAATTTAGTTTTCTTCTTTCCTCTTCCCAAGTACTGTAGTTGCTTGCTAAGTTGAGAAGAAAAGGGCATTATTTTTATGTACGAATGATGCATTAAAAATCTTCGAAAAAATTTGCGTGCTGATGCATACTCTACCGAATACAATCACACCTCGGTAAGCCGCCACCATTTGTCTGTGGGGTTTAACGGATTTTGCAGTTTGAAGGGGGTTGGTTGTTCATCAGAAAAGTTGAAATAATATGAAAATCAAGTATAGTAGGAAATGCAATTCGTATTCTTCAAGAAAAAATCAAAATAACCCCGGGATGCGTAAATTATATCCAGTTGATGTTCCTAATGGCGTTTCACCAGGGTGTGCAATGCACCCTAATCAGTAAAGATGTTTTGTTTCTGAAAATAAATTTGCGGTTGCTGAGGGTTGCGGCTTACCGGGGTTTATCTGTACTTCGATTTACGAAGTGAAACAAATTTTGGCTCCAGTTCAAGCTCTTTCGACTGCCAAATCCTGCGGGGTTAACAGTTCTCATCTTTTAGAATTCTGAAAAGGTTACAGTTTATCAATATGATCAAAATTCGCTGCACAATTTCATGAACAAATTTTCGTATCCCGATGATTATCCCCAGGATTCTTATGGCAAATCAATACCATGAGACCAGTAATATCGAAAATCCTGATTTTGTGTATCCCCCGTAGGACTGACTGCTCTGCCGTCCGATGACTTGCCTCTGTTGAAATCGCACTTACAACTGCTGTTCGTGAGATTCTGTATGTCTTCCGGTTCGAAGAACTACGAACAGAATTATTTTCCATTATTGTGGAAATCGATGATGAATGGAAGTTCGAGCGAAGCCGTTTTTGCTGCATCCGTGCTTTCGGGCGTGAGCTGTCTACCTGGAAATTCGAGATTGGTTGTGCAAACCGTCCGAGTTGTGCTGAATTCCTTACACACAGTCTGCGGAACAAACGGGAATCTTTTTGTTTGCCGTTGGCTGCTCGAAGATTTGATTCAGTGTCTGGAAATTGACGATGTTGTGGTCGTTTTTGATGATTTAAGAGAGGGCAGTGTCTCGGTCGACTTACTTGCTTTTGTTGCATGTGCTGGTTGTCACTTGCCGTGGACGTTGTTGGAGTCAGTTGTGGATGATGTGTTCAAATCCGCAACAAGTTTCCGTGATTCACATTTCCCTGTGAGTAATGTGCTTCTGTCATTTAATTTTATTTTTGCTTATCTATAGTGCATGACCAACCACCAAAAAGGTACCAATCTGGATTTTATTTTTCTGTTGCGTGGTTAAGTGAAATTAAAATATGACGAGCCAACTTGGCAATATCGTCTAAAGCAGTGGTTTGCATCGCGTGGTTTGCAGAAGTTTTTTTGCCGGTTCGAGAAGAATTTCCTTCAGCAAACTAAATTGATTGAAGGTAGTAATGAAGTCTGGTGTCTTCATCTGAAATTTTGCAGGCAATGGCAATTGAAATTATCTGATGAAAATTAAAACTTGGCTTTTCTATCATTATCGCTTCAGAAAAATCTTCCTAAGTGAATGATTTTGAGTTATCATTCAGAAACCAGGCTTGGTAATTTTTAGGACATTCCACTATGCTTGCCTCATTGGCAGCAATGTTAACTAAATGTTTGCAATATATTTTGGAGGACTTTATAGCACGTATTTGAACATTTTTCTGCTGTTCTGCAAACATTTTATGGAATTTACCAGTCAGCAAGAAATTTCATTGAAATTTGCCAATTTGCAAAATATTATGAAAACCTGCTGGTCCCCAAGCCCAAAAAGCTTGTGGAACACTGTTCTTGAGTACCAGATACATAGCATATAAATGCTTTTCAAAGATTGAGTACAGTGTCAGTTGTTTGCAATTGCTGCGTTGAGATTCTAGTTGGAGTGCACTACACAGGTAGGATGGAGAAAGTTTTCTTGAATGAGCTTTATGGGGTTTGATCGCCTCGTAGAGTAATGATTACAGTACATGGTAAGGCATTTCCCTGGTTGCTTAACACTTGAGCAGATTTCTCATGGTCAGACTAGGTTAGTCGCGTATTGTGCATAATATTTTCATACTGTTTTGTGATGCCTTTTGAGGCAAAGAACTTTCAGATCAGGTCCGATTTTTATTGGTTATCTTTTTTTTTCGCAGTGGGCGGTACTGAGTTTGGCTGTGATTTCCCGCTTGTCTTCCGAACACGAAATTGGCGCACATTTTGCGGGAAAAATTCGAAAGTTGGTATTCTGCTTATTGAAGCTAATGCGGGATGAATGCCTTTGGAGCTCGCCTTTTGACCTAGATGCCGTTTGTTCATTGATCGCATCCGCGAGCCATTTCTTGTCAAATGAAGCTTTGTTGGTGGTGAGTTCATACAATATTTCGTTTATGCAGCGAATTCTTACGATGGGTGTCTTGATTCCCGACCGTAATCCTACATGTCTCTTCCTCCCACTCCTGAAAAAAAAGAGGGTATTTTAGGTTATTATTTTTTCACATTTGGTTTTTTTCTCACTTGTTTTGTCTATCCTATACTTTATACCAATCCGAATTTGCTACCGTGGAATCGTGGATAATGAATGAAAGAAAGTGACCACCAGTGCATCAATTACAACAGTTACGAGGGTTGTCCAACTTTGGCGCGACCTTGGTTGTTTCTGGAGTAGGTATGACTGTATAATAAAATTGATATAGCCCATAAAGTTGTATTGTTCTACGATTTTTGTTTGGCTTTAAAAAAGCAATTTACTGCATGATGATGATAATCGAAAATTTCCCAGTTGCGGCCGGAGTTCTTCGCCCATGTTGCAGGGTGCAAAAAATTTCAGGCCAGCTGGAAAACTGAAATCTTGGTCTTTTAACCATTATATTTTCTAAATAGTGGTTAAAACAAGAAAGAACTTTGAATTTTCAGCTGGCCTGACAAATTTTTGCACTCTACAACATGGGTGGAGAACTCTGGCTGTTACTGGAAACTTTTTGCTTATAGGATCATCATGCCGTAAATTGATGAATTTAAGAAAAAATCCGAATAACACCCAGAACCTTGAAACCTCATGGGCATACTTGTTTTCTTAGTCATACCCACTCTGGAAATAACCAAGGTCGCGCCCAAGTGGGACAACCCTCCTATAACCTCTTCATCCCCACTTCCTTGGCTCAATCAAATTCACCATCTGTGATTGTTTCCCGAGGATAATCGCTTTTTTTCTTGTGTACTCTATTTCAACGCGTTCATGAAATACATTTTTCAAGACTTGCCCACAGTTACCAGTATAGCAACAATTTCCATTGTGTGTTCATAAGAAAAGAATTGAAAAGCTTGGATTGCGAATGCTTTGTGAAGCTAATTTTAACCGTCTTTCAATTCCAGGCATTTGCCAACCTCGGTGTAACCCTACAAGGAAGGTCAAACGAAAGTTCCGGATATCCATCGTGGTTGATTGCGAGTCTCACAGCGGGTACCCTTTTGTCCATTGACCAGGTTCGATTCAAAGATCTCATGTCAGTTCCTGTTGTGGAAGAAGTCGTCATTCACGGATTGTTGAATGCCTGTTCCGCTGGACTGTGGACTGGCTGGCTCTTGTGCTCGAAGTGAGTGTTCGTTGAGTCTGTTGACGAGTCACTTGAATTTCTAATGCTTGGGAGTAAATTTTGTTCAATGGTTGAAATTCTAAAATTCACAGTGGGTCGTCATTGAAAGCTTTCTTAATGTAGCAGTCGATAAATGTTTTTCCGTTGAACTTGATGCTCAATGCTGAGTTTCACGAAAATACGATCAGGGTTGTGCAAGAAAATTCATTACAACGAATCTCGTTATGAGAAATTTTCTTCTTGGCCCCGATAGTTCGTTCGTAGGGGTAATGTTATAAAAAAAAGTTTCTTATGACTAATTTTTCTTAGTCTATAATCTCTAAGTAAATTTCCACCTTGATTTCTTGTGCATGGGCCAAAGAAACGTTTAATAATTGTTACAATATGGGAAATCCCAACTTGTGCATAATTGAATAACCGTTGAAGAAATACAAATGCTAATTTTTTTGTTTTGGCTAGGAATTAGCGTTCCAGGAAGCGCGAAGCTATTCAGATTTATTTCATTGCGGTATTTAGAAATGGCTAATTTTTAAAGGAAAACTATGTTTGGAAGGATACTGCTATATTTCAGAGAATATACAGTTCTTAATGAATAAATTGTCTTCTTACATGTGTATATTCTGTTTGTTTTGGCTCATGCTTCAGTAAATTTGGAGTTTTTTTTACAAAATTTTGAAGTGAGATCATTTTATTTCACATTTTGGATTTAATTTCATTATTTCATTTAAAAAGTGGAAAATTTGAGCAGTTCATGAATCTGTTTTGGAATTATTTCGAAGAATCTATTTTTCAAGAAATTTCCGTCCTTCATACTAAAAGAAAATTGAATCTTGTGATGACAAATTTTTCTCAGGTCTCTGGGAGTTTGTTCAAAAAAATTTTATTGTACCTTTTTCTTAAAAAATAAGAATCATTACGACTATGATCGTATCCTTGAGAATGTTCTGATGTGTATGCTGTGAGGAAAGTTTTTCTGAAAAATGTTTTTTTATTATTCTGGAAGGGTTATTTGTACCATCTTGTTTTATTGAAATTTATTAATGCTAAGGATGCGGACGTTTCAGATTGGACGATTTTCCGCGCATATTACTATCTTGCCAACTAGATGACGACGCCTCGAGGCGAATCGCGATCCTGAAGGTGAGTGCAACATGATCTACAGTAGATTGGAAGCAGACGAGTTTATTTTTCAGCACATTTTTCAAAAGTTTTGTCATCTATGGAAATAATAGTAAAATAATAACAAGTCCCGAAGATTCTTGTCAACAAATGGTGCAAATGCTTCATTTTTCATAAGGCCGCATATCTATATGTGTAGAACACATGTAGATTTATGTCATGTCTCTTTTTGTCATGTTATAATTTTAATGTGCTTTTTGTTTCATAGTCTGGAGCGAGCGGTTATGACACCTGGATAATGTTTGCTGAAAGGAGTAAAGTGCTAGCGTTGGCAAATCAGAACCAGAGCCGTAATATTGTAACTTCTTCAGTGAACTCTTCCAATCAAGAATCACGCCAGGAAATGTTGGAAGCCGCTTCGAATCTGATGAAAAATGTTGAAAAGGCTGTTGATGAATTAAGCGCCCTTTCCGCTGAGGGTAAAATGCTAGCAGCCCTGGAGCTCGACATGTTTTCGCGAATCGCACGTCTTGAAGAAAAGCTCGGAGTGTTGCGAAGTTGTAGTTGATTTTGGCCGTGTGAACGTGATTTCGCCGTTTTTAAGTCCATTGTGCTGTCGTCAGATTGAGATATATTTGCATTTTTTCCACTTTCGTTACCAAGTTGATGAAAATCGGAAATGATTTTGAAGGATGTGTTTTATTGACCTCACCCCGGTTTGCTATGTTGAAGTTCTTTGCTTTAGATTTCAGTTCAAGTCTCCCATTTTTAGCAACTCTGAAATCACAATATTTAATAAATTAAAGCACCAAATTTCAAATTTGGACATGAATTAATCCTGAATTCAATTATTTCAATCACAAAAAGTTTTTCTGTTAAAATTGGTCCAAAATATCTTGTTTGAATCAAATATATTACAGTACAGTATAATACACACATAAACTTAATTTTTTTACAAATGTATGCGTATTTATGACGTGCACCCCCTTTTACTTTCAATTATGAGAAGAGAGGTGCACATGGTACTCAGTAAATATGGTACAGGATTTCTATGACCTGGTTGGCCTCTGAAATCAAGCTACATTTCCATGAAGAAAGTGGATTTATAATTTTTTCCATAATTCCTTTAGGATATTACCGATCCGTTTTCATCGTTGAACCTTTGTTTTTTTTTACATGTTCGATATTGACTGAAAATGAATGCCTTATAAGCAATTTTAATAATCTAAATAACTACACGTAACTAACTTTAAATACTGTATAACTAATTATAACTAACTAATATCTTTAACTAACTATAAGCGAAGAGCTTGGGAGTTGAAATATCTGTAACACTGCATGAAGACTTGCCAATTTTCTGTTGAACTGCAGATATGGAGCAGTGTATAATTTGCTGTTTCTGTTGCATTGCATTCTGATTATTATCCTAATTGTCAATTCAACGAATCCCATTAAATAATTGGGTGTGCTACTATGTGAGAAACATGATACCTTCATTTTCGTACTCATATGGTATCAGCAGCGTCCAACAACGATCATGATTATGGTGATGCTGGATCAGATGTGGGTGTCGCAATAAGCCAAGTTATAGAGCCCAACGTCAAATATCAAAACTGATTTCAATTTGTGGTCCACCTTTTTAAATGTACATATTTTTCTCCTAACTTGCCAATGCGGTTGTGATCTTCTGCGAAAGCGCTTTCAGATTCCTTCGAGCGACATCTACTGCTTGATGAGTACCTACAAAACACGGGGAGGTCTAATGAGTACGAAGTTGTCGCTATCGTACTCCAACGTGGCCCTGGGAATCCTGGGATGCATCTATTGCTGCTTTTAAAAAACGCGATGTACAATATTTCGAAGCATGAATTTACCACCACCGAATTCATTTGTTCGAGCTATTTTGAACCATCTCAAAGTTTTGCTTAAAAGCTTCTTATGCTTGTTTGTGGGAATCAACAATGAGTTACACAACTGACATAGAAAAAGTGTCTTGCAGTTTCTCACGTATCTAACGTGGACGTTTCTTGCAAAAATTGTAAATTGGAAGCTTCTCATGCTTTATTTTCATTTTTTGGAGTTCGTAGAGTGAAATGTATACAGAAGATGCTGAGGTGTATGCGCATACAATATTTCCACCCTTGGATGTGATAAAAAGCCCCGTGCATGAAGGATTTACTGAGAGAAAACCTTGTTTTTCTTATTATCTTTATATATAGTAATAACTTCATTAAAGTAGATTTTGCAGTAGAATCCCTGGATTTTCGATTCAAAATCCACCTTGTTCATTTTCCTCCCAGCAAGAAAGGGTCACCAGAAAAACTGATCCATCAATGTCACTCACTGTACAGGCCTTCTCACACCCTCACTTCTGCTCCCATCCAGAAAAGGATTTGACTCCTTCATCAGTGAGGGTTTGCATTTTTGGTAACACTCATTGCTTTGCTTGGCTTTGCTGATCAGTTGAGTTTCAAAAAATAGCGGAAGAAGAAAAAATAATTGTTTCATGATACAGTAAACCCTCTCAATGTCAAATTTCAAGTGACCAGCAAAAAAATGAAGAATAGGGAAGTTTTGAGTTATGGAAACAAGCATTTTTGTTGTGGGGAATATAATATCAGTATAGGTTGTTGTAAATTGTATATCGTGGGCCTTAAATTTCTTCTTAAATGAGTTGACAGGATGCTGAACTGGGCGTTAGGGGTTCATTTGCCCAATTAGTCTTTCACAAAGCATTATAGTAAGATTTTTATTGCCTTTCTTGTTCATGTAGTGTGATGTGTCAAGAAAATAACAGCCAAAAAGGCTCAAAACATTCAAGTTCTGGATGTTTGGAAGAAAAGTCTTTGAGTTTGAGAGGTTTTTATTCCCTTTATCTAAGGGATAGCCACTGCTGAGGCCCATACCTTGGAATCCAGAAAGCCACTTGAAACAAATGTCTACTTACAGGGAGGTTCAAGGTATCCAGGTTCAACTATACAGTAGTGACAGGTCTATGTCCAGGGCCATAAGAGACAAATGACGAGACCTCGTCGCTGATGGTATTTAGACTCATGTACACTGACTATGTACTGAGTCATACCTGCATCTGACCTTCTTTGAACCCCCGAGAATAATAAGGAACAGGCTCCAAAGGTCATGGGTATCCCTGGAGCTCCAGCAGTGAACACATTCACCTCTCTATTATGACCTGCTGCTGGGTCAAGGTTTCACGTCGTATGATATCTTATTATTGACACTATACCATTTTTTACACGCAGGACAAAGAACTTTTATCCTCTTATATCCGAACTTTTCGTGTTGCAGAAATGAAACGTACGGAAACAGCTCGATGAAAAAGAATTGGACATTTGTAAATAGATAAAAAGTTTATTTTAACAATTCATCAGAATAGTTAGTTAGCATCTTTTGTTTTTCTTTCAGGGTGTGTACAATGAATTTCATCTTCTTCTTCACAACACGTAGAGACAAATGTAAACCTAGCCTAGAAAAAAGCATCAAGAAAAAGCCTAAGGGTGTCGTATATGTGCGTCATTATTCTCAGAGAATAATGAGAGCCACTTGTTTTGCAAATTTCCTAAAAACACAAAGAAATGTGATTTTTGAGGATTAAGTTATCACAAAATGAGCAAGTTGAACTTCTTCAAGCACAGTCTCAATAAGGGATTAGCAAAAAAAATCGAGCTAAGAGTTTGTTCAGGGAAACCAGCATTTTTGTTGTGCGAAAGACAGGCCGGAGAATTACCGGAAATTGTAAATGCTGGTGATATTCTTGACCTTGCTTCTTAAATGAGTTGACAAGAATGCTGAAGTTGGAGACAGTTGGAGGTTTGTTTGCACAATTAGTCCTTGCTCCTTGGCTTCTTTTCAAAACACGTGGTTCCTTTTTTATTGCTTTCCTTCCTGTGCCAAAACACAATAGCCAAAAGGTGAGTTATGGAGGTTTGAGAATAAAACCCTACGAGTCAGAGAGGTTCTTTTACTTCTTTTATATGCATTGTTTCTATAAAAGGAATTCAGAAGGGGATTGAAAAATCCGACTTTTCTTCGGGAGGTTCGAGTTATCCAGGTTCAAGTGTAATGTAGATCCCAAGCACGTAGATCACGAAACGAAATAGTATAACGAACCTTCGGACCTCGACCCAATCCTGATGCAACTGCTGGCGATTTCCGACGCATTTATATCCCGGATGAACCAGCCGCAATCTTCTGAAAGTCAAATCCCCCAAAACTTGGATATCATCAACTAAACAGACTGCATTTCAGTCTACAAGGTAAACAAACTCTTATAAATTTAACGCAAACGAGCAGAAATCGAGCTTATAAAACTGACGCAGGACGGTGTCCGTGACGAGACGCAGCACTCTTCAGATGGAGAACATTCGTTCCCCCCATTGGGAATATACGAAGCGGAAGAAGTTTTCCATTTCCAGGTTCCCCCTCGAAACTTCCGCGATCGTGTAGATACTGTATGTATGTATTTAAGTCCTTGAACCCAAAAATTTCGTTCACTGCGAAGAACTAAATGCGTATGAAGAATCTGGAAGCTTCTTTCCGCTCACTTGATACGATAACACGCAGTCCCACCGGTCGAAAGTTGAAGTGAACGCTCGACCGAAGAGACTTTCTGAGTCCTAACTTTTCCAGTTGACAGGTGTCACTCCTCGCGGTGACCTACACGAGAGTTGGACGATGGGAGGATTTCCCGCGGATGTTGATATTGAATGATTCACGAGCGATAATGAAGCGATCAAAATGATTACCTCTTTTATCGAGGACACGAAATGAATACATTCATGTCAGATGAACTCTTAGGATGCTATTACAGAAAAAAAATGCGTAAGTTCTCGTATTTATGATGCAGGAGTAGGAAATCAATCTAATGTGCCTTTACCTTTCGAAAGAAAGAATGTGGGTTTGCTGGGGTGCGCTTTTCAAAGTGCTTCTTTTACAGATGCCAGCAGGATATGAATCGTGGTCGCGTCTCCAAGATTTTTTGCTGATGCCAATCAACTTTTCGTTTTCCGCGGTAAGACCGAAGGCAATTTATCCACTTTCAGCCTTGACTCAAATGCGTAATCTTATCTCTTGAAGTACTCTTACACTACTCTAGTAGCTCTTCCGCTGCGACTTGTCGGAACTCGTAGTTCAAGTTTGCGTTACGTAAGATGGGGAAAATTGACCGGGACGAGTGCTTGGGGATTTTCCACGAACTGCTGTTAACAGCTGTCTATGTAGGCTTTGTTACTTGTTTCTTCCTTCCCGGTTCCATGCAGGAATTTCCGGGAATCAGCACAGAGAAGGGGGAAACGGCAAGACTTCGACTTTGACGAATCGGAAAATCCATTTGTTGCGTACAGCACGTACCGCATCAGAAAGGAATATACGGAGTACAGCATTACTGTATATCGTTGTCCGCAATCTGTGCAGTACATGTGTCATACATTTTTTTGATTTTTTTTTATGCGGCACGGGGTGGATTTTATTTATGCTCACAAATAAAGTTCGAGTCTCTCTGTTCAACATCGGCAAATTTAGAATTTGACTCCTTGGCTTTAAATTGGACGATGGGAGGATTTCCCGCGGATGTTGATATTGAATGATTCACGAGCGATAATGAAGCGATCAAAATGATTACCTCTTTTATCGAGGACACGAAATGAATACATTCATGTCAGATGAACTCTCAGGATGCTATTGCAGAAAAAATGCGTAAGTTCTCGTATTTATGATACAGGAGTAGGAAATCAATCTAATGTGCCTTTACCTTCCCAAAGAAAGAATGTGGGTTTGCTGGGGTGCGCTTTTCAAAGTGCTTCTTTTACAGATGCCAGCAGGATATGAATCGTGGTCGCGTCTCCGAGATTTTTTGCTGATGCCAATCAACTTTTCGTTTTCCGCGGTAAGACCGAAGGCAATTTATCCACTTTCAGCCTTGACTCAAATGCGTAATCTTATCTCTTGAAGTACTTACACTACTCTATAGTAGCTCTTCCGCTGCGACTTGTCGGAACTCGTAGTTCAAGTTTGCGTTACGTAAGATGGGGAAAATTGACCGGGACGAGTGCTTGGGGATTTTCCACGAACTGCTATACCAGCTGTCTATGTAGGCTTTGTTACTTGTTTCTTCCTTCCCGGTTCTAGGAATTTCCGGGAATCAGCACAGAGAAGGGGGAAACGGCAAGACATCGACTTTGACGAGTCGGAAAATCCATTTGTTGCGTACAGCACGTACCGCATCAGAAAGGAATATACGGAGTACAGCAGTACTGTATGTCGTCCGCAATCTGTGTACAGTACAGCATGTGTCATACATTTTTTTGATTTTTTTTTATGCGGCACGGGGTGGATTTTATTTATGCTCACAAATAAAGTTCGAGTCTCTCTGTTCAACATCGGCAAATTTAGAATTTGACTCCTTGGCTTTAATTTTCTGCGAAGACGAGCGAGAATTTCATTCTGAAGTGCGTATGCTTCACTTCAAGGACGTGCGCAATCGTCATCTTTTTTTTTATCGAATTCAGAAAAAGTTTCAGATTTCCGCGAAAAAAGTTTCGAGAATTTTGAAGAGGCCGAAAAATACTTCGAGGCGCATTTTAATATCTCAAGCTTTTTTTTTAAATCTTTTCATTTGAGACACCATCAGTGATGAAAAATCGGATTCATTTGTCCTTCAAATCTATAGTGCAGAAATATATTAATTTTGGGACTCATTGCATGATTTTCGAATTCAGGAAATTATGACTTAGTACTGTAATATGTGTTTACAACAATAGAAGGTCCCTTAAATTTAGCCTTTGCAAAAAAAAAGTGGAAATCATTCAAATGATGATAAAAGGATGAATCTCTTTTATAGATGCGTGTAGCAGCAAAGTACATTGAATGGAGTCCATGGAATTTTTACAATTATGGTACCAAAACGAAAAGAAGCCATTTATTACTCCTCATCTGCGTAATCTGTGCAGTAGTACTGTACACGGAACTTCTTCTGAATTCCCCAAAAATGTGTTGTAACAGGATTCTGCTGCATACAGTATTGCTTGTCAGGTGAGGCATTAAAATAACCAGTTGACATTTGTTGGCATCAACTGCATGCTTCAATAAACGATTTCGACTTGAATAGAAAAGACCATCGCAGATACTAAAGTTATTGCAACGGATTCGAGTCTATAGAATACCACAATATTGCGCAATGACGCAGAGAGACGGAACCCGTCATGAAAGGCGTCATACCCAACAAATGCTCGCGGTGGTATTGCGAAAACGTTGACTTTGGCAAGTCCGTGCTTTGTTATGGCGTTCTGGACATCTATGCCGGCTGTTTTCAAGTGGATGGGTGCGGGGCTAATTCACCGCCAGTACAACTCTTTCATTTCCGCGATATACTGTATACATTACAAGTATACAACTCAGCGCCGAAGAGCTTGTGACCGATGAAATATGTTCATCGGTTACCAGCTTTTCATCATTTGCATTTCATGTATGTCTTTCACTCTGTAATAAAAACTGTCTTGCATTATAAACTTGAAAGCAAATTTGAATTAATTTTTTTGAAAAATGCTGTGCTGCAGATGATTCGATTTTTAAAATCTTGGCCCTTTCTTTGTGGACGTGGACTCTCTAAAAAAAATGCAACGGGAACGAAAAAAACTCTGTTGTAACAAAATAAAAAACCCTAAAATACATGGGAACAGAACCTCAAAGGCACAAATTTAATTATGCAGCACTTACTGCAGAGAAAATTGTTGCAGAGAATCTGTTTGTATAGTCAGAGACTGCCTGTGGATGAAATGCAGGTACAGTACTATTACATGAGGACAATTCCGTATTCTAATTGATCCATCACTCAAAATAATTACGAAGTTCCAAGCATTTTTCTTCAAATCCATTCAGAATGCAGGACAGTATACAGTATAGGTATAAGCGCCAACTGCCAATGCTTATGTAAAGAAAATCATCTGTGAAAATGTGTTTATTTCTTTTTTTTTGCAAAAATTCAAGTTTGCACCATGCAGCAGCCACAAAACAAGATGGACCACAAAAAATCTGATTTGAGCCATTATTAGATGAGTGGAATGTATATGTTTTAGGTTCCCCTTACAGAAGTACCTGTAACTTTGCACATTTTTCAATAAATAAAAGTCTGAATATCTTTTCCAAGATGTGATAGATTTCAAGGGGCATGTTACACTTGATGATTATGGAAAATGTCCTACACTACCTACAGGGACAATTTAAAAATCATAAAAATCGAAAACTAATTGGATTCAGGTTGAATTCATGTTCAGATTTACGTTCTGGTCCGTCTTATTTTTTGAATTATCATACTTTTTCTTTCACAAAAAAATTGAGTGTGCATCTTCCTTGATAAAGGATAGGATTTCATTAACATTTTAAGGTGACAATTTTGGGTGTGCATCTCATTCAAGGGTTTGTGGAGCAGGAATGAATACTGTACATTATTTCTCAAGAAGAAATACGTCTCATGGTTTTTAATATGGTGTTTGATGCACAGATACAATTGTTCCACTGGCATGCACATTTTGATTTGACCAAAGGTCAGTGAAAAGCCAGCTGGATAGCTGCAAAGGCCAAAGTCATGAAAAAACCTGGTAGAATATATCTTATTGTTCTGAAACATCTCCAACATTAATCCTATGTAAGGCATCCAGGAATAATGTCACCCAATGAGGAATTTTTCTATTTTGCAGGCAATATTTTCTCCTAGAAGAGAGAGAAATATTAGACTTTTTCCCAACTTTGGCCTTTGTTCAAAAATTAGTTTTACTTTTTGTTTGTTTTCAGTGAGCATGGCACACAATTTTTCAAAAAATATCCCAACTTTGCCATCACAGAAGGATTAAATGACTGGCAATTGATGCTTGCTTTGTCACTGTTCTCAATTTTCCTATGGCCATTTGGTCTCTATACAAAGTACAATCAACCCCCATCTAATGGACTTAATTTGTGCAATGGACAAGTCTGTTAGACAAAAATTCCTTTAGATAAATTCAATTATACAAAATATTTAACCTTTAAATTGTAAACACCAAGTTTTAACCAACAGAAGTCTGTTTGGCAGATTTTGTCAGCTGTTGGGCTGGAGGAAAGACTGCCTGCAGAGCTGGTCTGTTGGGCAAAAATCTCTTACACAAGAGGTCTGCTATAGGCTGGGGGCCACTGTACTGTATATTGCTCAGGGATATTCAACTTTTTCTCAATTTAGGCCTTGGTTCGAAAATTAGGCTTTTATTTTCATTGTTAGTGCTCATGGGCATATATTTTGCAAAAAATATCCCAACTTTGCCATCATGGAAGGGTTAAATGACTGGCAAGGGATACTCTTGCTTTGTCATTTTTCTCAACATTCCTATATGACCATCAGTGTTTTGCTCAGGGATATTGAACTTCTACCCAATTGAAGCCTTGGTTCAAAAAGTTGGTTTTCATTTTCAGTGCTCAAGGGGACACAATTTTGAAGAAAAAACAACTCAACTTTACCATCACAGAAGGGTCAAAATGCTTGGCAAGTGATGCATGCAGCTTGCTTTGTCAATCTCCCCTAAACTCTCTGGTCAGTTGGTCTCTCTATATACCAGATGTCGTTCAAGTGATTTGAGGTGCCGCCAAGCTTCTCCTTCCTCCTCCTCCCCCCTCCCTTTATTTTCTCCCGCCGAGGTTTATTGGAATGGAAGAACTCCTGTGCGTGTGCGTGTGTGTGTGTGGAACATATGGAGAGCGCAAGGAAATGGGGCTTTTGTGGTGTGCGCAACCCAGTCGCGACCGCAGTCATCCCGCGCCCAGCGTCCGAGAAGGAGTAGCTCCACTCGAGAGGAAAGGCCTCCACCATCACCAGTCCCCCATTTTAGTCGGGGGGATCGTCGTCGCGTACGCCGCTGCTGTTTCCTCGCTGCGCGGAGTACAGTGGTCGATCGACGTGCAACACGTGTGGATTTACCCCCTTTTCCTTGTTGAAATTTTTCGTGATGGGTGCTGAGGCGACACGGGTTCTGATGACGGTGGTGTCAGTTTTGATTGCACTGGTTGTGGGTGCAGTTCAGGCTGCCGTTGCTCCGGATTATCCGCCTCCTTGCGAAGAGTGAGTAATTTACAAAGAACCGTACCTGTATCATCATTTACCCTGAATAGTGTTCTAATAAAGGCCTGCTGACTAATGATGAAGGCTGCTTAGGGAGGGAAAATTTCCAAGAATTTTCTTGACCATTATCCTTTCCACATCCCGCCTGTTTCTCTGAAACAGGAAACAAAAAATCCTTTCCTTCAGCATTTATGAAACATTTCTGCCTCAGTTTCTAAGGAAAAACGGCAAATCCAAGTTTTTTTTTCTCCCTGATTTATCCTGCTGTTTTTCCATTTTTTCTTTGTTCTTTTGGTCGGGATCAAAAACTTCCAGAAATGATAGTACAGTAGTATTTGGCCACTATAAACCCTGGGGCCATTTATTAAAGCATGTGAGGTACAGTATTATAAAACTGCCTGCCTGATGGTCCAGTCCTTTTGTAGTATAATTATACCAGAGACCATAGGTAAAATTATTTTTTTCAATTCCCCATCTGAATTCCCTTATAAACCATGCATTAAAAACCTCTCTACCTAGAAGTCTGTTGCTCTCAAACTCCTGCTGTGACACATTTTCTCATGCCTTTTAACTACAGTATTATTTGCTTGACACAAAAAAACAGAATACCAATAACAATTCAACATTATATTTTTTTATCGCCTTCATATTTTCAAACTATATTTCTACCACCCACGCGAGTTGACCTGTAAATGTGCAGTGCAGTACTTCCATAAGATTGATTTCTTGCGCCAGAGAAAATGAAACTACTGTACTACTGACCTAATTTTTGTCCTTTGGCAACAATGAATACCGGATTGCTTCAGTGGATTCTCTTTTCTTCTTGAAAATTGATTTTAATTTTTAACGGACAATTGAAATTGGCCTTTATTTTAACCATCTTGAACGAAATTTCCTAAATGTGTCACGTTGAAAGCGGTGCATGATATTAGGTCAAATACTCCATTCAAACTCAGGAATAACCGGGTGCCCCCGACAATTATTCTACATCTGGGTACCTTCAAATCTTGGAAATTTCGGTTTGCATTTTTCATTTGGTCATTTTATTCTTCCCGAGATTTTGGTGTGAGAGGGCATTTTATTTTGACAAAATAACTAAATAGATTATCCAATGAAAGACTGTGGAAGTACTGTATTTTAGTTCCTAGGGAAATAATTGCAATGAGATTCCAAAATGAGGACACTCTGAGGTTTGTATGATTTAACTCAGGGACACTGGAAAAAACTGCCGCAAAATTTGGAAATGCCTCAAGAGTCAAGATACAGAAACTTGCGGGCATTTTTTAGACAAATGGAAAATTTGTATTTTTTAAAATCTGGACATCTCTTGAACAAATTGAGCTTTTGATATTCTCAAATATTGAAAATAAATTTTATGATGATAAATTCTCTGATTCCTAATCCTAAAAAAAGTAATTTTGGGCTTCTCTTTCCAGAGTTCTTTCCATAATCTGTGAATACTGTAGGATTACAGTACTTGTGCTTGTTCTTTGATTTCTTGGAGTCATTTTCATGCCAAACAATCTGATTCCATGTGGTTTAGATCTGCACAGTTACTTAATTCATTTTGAAGTTGATAAAATTAATTTATTAATATTTTGTGGAATATTTTCCTAATTTCTGTTGAACAGGAGAACCAATTAAATATATTCCCATGGAAGTCCAAGAGAAAACATGACCTAATATGCAGATTTTCCAGCATAGGGACGAAGTCGAAGTGCCAATTACATCTGTATCTTGAATCCCCATTGTACAGTATTGTATTTCAATTTCCTAGTGCTGCAACAGAGCACCGAACAGCTAGAGAAAGATGAAATTTCCGGGACTTTTTTTGTGTGGAAAATTGATTGAAAGTTACTCTATGGCCGAGCAAGATTGCATGAACGCAATGGATTTTCCTGCACCTCGGGAAATTTCTCCATTTCGGCCACTGCAAGCAATCATCTGCCTGGGATAGACTTTTTATGCTTCCGACAGTTAACCTCGATCTTGGACACGAAGCTCTGACTCGAGGAAATGATTTCATGTGAAGGATGGAAAAGCGAATCAAACTTTTTAGAGCATTGCATTTGATTGATGGTTGGCATCAGAAGTACTGGTCACGCTTGAGCATTAAAAAACAAAACTCTCGCGACATCCATTTGTGTTGGAGCACAGCACCTCCTTGACTGCTGAATCAGGAGAAGGAACAGTGTGTATGTAAGTTGCAAAAATGCTTCAGAGTGAAACTGTGCGGAAGATTCTGTATGGATAATGATCATAGGTGATGCTGGTTATTAAATACATTCTTTGTCTTATGTCTTCAACATAATTACTACCTGGATTTAACCGTCACTGATCTCCCTTAAATATTTCTTGGTAAATATCTGCTCAGCCCTCCCAAGTGACAAAAACACAAATCTGTGCTTTCCTTCATATATTTAGCAGCATTAATTGCTCTGTGACACAAAAGCATTCTGTTTAAAGCATGTTCACTAAACAAGAATGTCATGCAAATTGTGATATTGTTGAATCTAGTGATTTATTGGCTGACCTTACTTGTGGTAAAACTAACCCATGGAATTTTGTATCCTCCAGTATCCATTTAGGATATTGTAAAGTTAGAAATAAGTCCTCAAAAAAGTCAATAAAATTGTTTCCCTCAACTTGAAGTTGTAGAAAAGAACAGTGCAGAAAAACCACATAAAATCTGATATTTTGGTATCAAAAGGAGGTGAAAAAGCAAAGACAAATAAGTCTTGCTAGGATAAGCACAGAAGATAGAAAAAACCCCTGAAAAAATCACAAAATCAGCTTCCTTTTGAATATGAATTTGAGTTAATTTATCATGAAATATTTGTTTCAATTTGTATGCAAGTACATAATTTTATTTCTCCAAGGGATATACAATTTAAAAATAAAATATTTCAATTTTTTGGGAAAATTTCAGATAAGTGTCCCTAACTTGAGCCAATGTCTGGATGTTGGGCCTGATTTTTTGGTTTTCAAGTGTTCCTAAGATGGATTGCCAATATGTCAGGGTGTCTGCATATTGGCGTCTTGCTGTACACTACTTTACCCATCAACTGACCAAACCATGTGAATGCGTTTCATAAAACTCAACTGGGATATTGCTGCAAACATGTTCGCCTAACTTCAGCTTGAATTAATTCTAACACTGGCAATGGAATAGGTGGACTCTCTCTCTACTACAATCTTGTCTATTAAAATTTTTGAGGCATAATTTTTTTTTCTTCAGTCCCATGTTACACTCCCCACATTACAGGGGTTCTCTACAACAAAGTTCTCTCTAAAACAATTTTTTCTGGTCCCTTGAATTTTGTTGTTACGGGAGTCCACATGTACGAGGGTTCTAACAAAAGTTCTCGGAGTTGACCACAAGCCATCACCAGAGGTGGATGAAATTTTTTTTATTGGATTCCTCATCCTTTTTTAACCTGGAACCAATTTTTTTCATCCCTAGACAAAAATTGAAACTGGGAAAAAAAGTTGAATCAGTTTTTTCTGGTGATGTGCCCATCCATTCTAACAGAAGTTCTTGGAATCAACCACAAACTGTCACTGGAGATGGACGTGAATTTTTTTATAGGATTACTCATCCTTTTCTGGCCTAGATCCATTTTTTTTTCATCCCCAGACAAAAATGGAAATGCAAAATAAAAACTTGAATGAGTCAGTGAAGTGCCCACCCATGAAAAAAGAGCAGTTGCGCACATGCATGCTCTACAACTTTGCACCACAACAATGCTCCTGGGCACACTGCTTTGAAAACTCTTGATTTCATTTCAAATTTGGGCATTTAGCTTTTGACTCCTCCTCCTTACTCCCCTGATCTTGCTCCCTGTGATTTTTGGTTGTTTCCAACTGTGAAAAAAGGCTTTGAGGGAAAGTGTTTGGAACAAGGGAAGAGCTGATTTTCGCTGTGACTGAGGAGCTGGAAAACATTGAAAAAGAAAGTTTCTCTCACTGCTTTCAACAATGGGTGCATCAACTTGAAAAGTGCATTGCCATTGGTGGGAAGTACATTGAACGGAGCTGACGATCTTTTCCTGTTTTTCTTGAATGTTTTTTGTCAATAAGAAAATTTTTTGACCCAAAAGTTTTTTTTTTCATTTTCATTCCAAGAACTTCTGTTAGAATGGGTGGGCACAGCACCAGAAAAAACTCATTCAATTTTTTTCCCAGTTTCCATTTTTGTCTAGGAATGAAAAAAAAAATTGGTTCTAGGTTAAAAAAGGATAAGGAATCCAATAAAAAATGTTCATCCACCTCCGGTGATGGCTTGTGGTTGACTCCAAGAACTTTTGTTAGAACCCTCATATAATGTGAATTATTGTTATTCTTCGAAGGATTCTCCAGCACATTTGGATGAGTGCTTATTCAAGAAAAAAAACAAGCATAGGAATTCATTCAGGAAATGCCAGGAGGGGATTTATTTTTTTGGAATGGGGAATTGCTATAATAAAATATTACAATTGGATGCGGTAGGTGGAAAGGGAAAATTTTCAGGACAAAACCATACCGAAATTGAAGGATAATCCAATATTCAAACCTAATTCGGGGAAATATGTATGTCATATTCATAATTGAGTGTGAGCTCTTGCATGTTTTAAATTTAATTGAGCTCCGTTCTTCTCCATTTTCACCTCCTGGCTCAATTGCAGTGGAATGGCACGCGTAATCTAAGCATAAATAAAACCCAAGGAATAGCTCGTAATGCTATCCTTCATGCATCCGATTTGAGTTGTTGAAAATTATGCGGAAATTTCATGCTTCCAAAAAACAAAAACGCCGCGAATTCCGACAATTTACGGCTCATCTGGAAACATTCCATCTAAAGTTCGCGTGAGGCATGAAGACAGAAATCATCATTTGAAACATACTCCTGAAAAAATTTGCAGAAATTTTACCGTCAGTTTTGACATCTGCTTCATTTTGAGTCCGTGTTTTTATTCTTTTTACACCAAGGACAAAAAATGACTGGGTTGCTTCCCAAAAAC